GTGCTGCTGGGATCCTGTGCCCCAAAAGGCTAGGCCTATGCTAGCCCCCTCTCCCCCAACTTGACGCCTCACCGTGTCCCTGAGGATGGACAAGAAGGTCCTCTTGGAGAGGATGCAGAACTGTGTGAGCGTGCTGGTGGCAAAGGTGTGGCTTTCAATGGGATCCACTTCCTGGGGAGAGGAAACTGGATCAAGTGAGGCTACCCACAGGCCCCACGCACCCGCACCCCGCGGGGAATGGGGAGGCCCCTGAGCCCTCCGGGCGGGGTCCTCCAGGTCTACAGGGGGTCATCGCCACTGAGTGGCGAGCCTGAAGCGGCCTTAGGGCGCAAATCGCAGTGAGATACAGACACAGGAGGAGGGCTAACAACCCCGGAGGGGGAGAGAGAAGGGGAGTGGACACCCGCGAGGCCCCCCAGTAGATCAATCACTTCTCTTTAACCCATCGTAAAGTGTTGATGCTAAGGGTGTAATTCCTTTCTGCCACCACTTCCACAGTAGTGCTACTTAACAATAATAACATGATAATAACGGTGACAGCGACACACTAACGCTTCCTGTTTCGAGGGTTATAGTGTCTCGTTTAAGGAGGAAAAGTGGCTCTGAATGAACAGCTACGGCAGGAAGAGCTTTACGTGAGGATCTTAGCCACCCATCAGCCCTGGGAGTTAAGCACAATCACCTCCAGGCTGGAGATGACAGTAAAGCCATGCTGGCCACGAGGCCAGAGACAGTGTCAGCCTAGCTTACCAGGCGGCACTGTGCTGGCACTGGGGACAACACACTACAGATGCTCAGTAAAAATTTACTGAAGGAATAAATGAAGGAGAAAGCAGAAGCTCAAAGTACCCCAAGTAAAGTGCCCAAAGTCCCGTAGCTGTTAGTAGTAGGGCTATTCCAAGTCCTGGGTTCTTCCTAGTACCCCATGGTTGTGATGCCTCTGAGGGACAGCCTCTTTGGCAGGGCCATTATCACGGTCCCCTCTCCCCTCCCCCACTCTATACTCTCTGCCCTCTTCACCCCTACTCACCGGAGGGCAAGGGGGGCAGGGGGCAGGGGACTCATTCTTCTCCAGGCTGCTCTTCCTCTCCGCCACGGCACACAGCCCATTCTGCACAGCCCTGAACAGCATGGGGTTCAGGTCTCCATACTCGCCAGAGGCCACCTCAATGACTGGGGTACACAGAGGGCAGTGCTCAGCTAAGATCTATCCTTGGTTCCCAAGGGCAAGCCAGCCCCTCCTTGGGTGTATGGTGAAGGCAGGTGGCATGACCCAAGCCCCCAGTTTGGCCCCCCACATAACCCAGGCCCTACCAACAGGCCCCCACTCACTGAAGTCAGCTGGGTTGTGGTAGGTGGGGCAGTGCAAGCCAAGGCCCTTCAAATAGGGGATCAGCTTGGTGACCATGCCCTTGAAGATACACTGGCCCTGGCTCAGGATGTAGAGCTGAGGTGGAGAGAGAAGGGTGAGGAGAACAAGGCCAGCACCTCTACTGACCCCTTCCCTCTCCCCATCTCGGGTCAGTCATCTTTGAGGACCAGAGAGACTCACCTTGTCAAACATCTCAAAGAGCTTGGCACTGGGCTGGTGGATGGTGCAGATGATGGTACGGCCTCCCTGGGCCAGGGACTTCATGAGGGACACCACTTGGAAACAGGAGGCGCTGTCCAGACCACTGTCCAGAGGGAGGCCACCAGGGGGCGGTGTGAGGTGGGCAGAGCCAAAAGAAGGGAGTGTTTGGGGTGGGACAACTTACTCTAAAGGGGACAGAGCTGGCAGGAAGGGGCCACTCTGGCCACCCCTACATCCTGTACACCCTATAATTCAGGCATTTGGAGGTACCAAGAAGCCTAGAGCACTGTTCAGTTTAATAAGCATACATTGAGCACCTACTGAATGCCAGGCACTGGGGTTACAATAATGAATAAATAAGACACAGACTCTAGGTAGAGGGAGAAAACAGTGCACAGACCATTTGTGATCACGTGGAGCATGCGGTAGAAACATGGGGTGAAAGAGCGGAGGGGGACCCAGTCCATCTGTACTAGGGTGTTGTGGGGCAGTCAGAGAAGGTTCCTGAGGGAGCCTGGAGGAAGAAAGCGCTCAACCAGGGGAAGGTGGAAGGGCAGGCACGGTGGTGAAGGGCATCCAGGCAGCAACACAGCATGTGCAGAGCTCAGAGGCATGAAACACATGGCCTGACTAAGGAATCACAAGCAGCTCAGTATTATTGGAGCGTAGAACACAAGACAGCATGAAGCAAGGTGTGAGGTCAAAGAAGTAGGTTCCGAGCAGGACCTTGTAAGTCCTCCGACTTTATCCTGAGGGCAAATGGGCACCACTGCATGTTTTTCAGAAGGGGAGGGAGTGTTGCCAGACCTGTCTTTTAGAAAGTTCATCTGGTGGCAGCCTGGAGGAGGCCTGGCTGGGAAAGACTGGAGACCAGGAGGCGGGAGTCTGAGGAATGCAGGCAAGAACTGCTGGTGTCCTGAGCTCAGCACTGGCACAGGGGTGGGAGAGGGGGGATCTGAGAGATGGTAAAGGAGGTAGAATCTGCAGGACTTGGTGACTGATTGGCTGTGGCGGGAGAAGGAGAGGGAGGTATCAGGGGAGGACACTGGGATTCCTGCTGTGTGAAGGATGGGGCTGCTACAGCAACAGGGCTGGCAGGGATGGTGATGAGAAGTAGCCCTCGTCTGGGCCCAGGAGGCTGAGAACACAGGCTCTGGTCTACAGCCACCGAGCAGACGCAGCCTCCAGCGCCAGCCAGGGCCCAGGAAGGGGGAGAACTACCTGGTGGGCTCATCAAAGAACATGACAGGTGGGTTGTTGACCAGCTCCAGGGCGATGGCCAGGCGCTTCCTCTGCCCACCAGAGAGAAGGGCTGTCCTCGTGTGGGAGCAGGACATCAGGCCCAAGGCTGTCAGGATCTCTGTCACCTGCCCCAGCCCCGCCCCCAACCCCAGATCAGCTTCAGCATCTCCCCTTTCCCGTGTACCACCCCCATTTAAATAGCATCTCCCGAGGTCCCATGTGCCAGCCTGGGCCACCGCTATCCCAGCCCCCAGCTCCGCCCCAGAACTCAGCAGCACCGAAAAGCAGGGCTGTGCCATC